GTTGAATGTTGATCCATCCTCGGGTCTCTCATACGTATTCTGTATTTATATGCTCTAATCTTTCCAAACTATGGTGTAAAAAAAAAAAAAAAAAAAGAAGGTCTGTTTGAGTAGTAACATCAGGCGAACTAATGATCAGGCAAACAGCTTCAGGCTGTTGAACAGCAGCAGCAGCTGGACTGACTCCCACTGGACTCCACCCGAACATCCTCCAGCAGTCCAAACCTCATCAAACATTCAAACACTGATACCAAAACTGGACAGTCGACTGAAATGATTAATGGGACTCTGCTGTTTTCACACGAAAGCGTTTCACAGCTGTGATGAAAGCGTCAACGGACACGATAAAGGAACATAACATATTCTAGGAGTGACTTTAACCATTTACGAAAGAGAAGAAAAGAGTCACAGAGTGGCACGGGGGGATAATGTGAGACAAAAGAAAGGGCTGACAGAGGATAGGGTCAGGAGAAAGAGGAGGGAGGCAGCTGACGTGGCTTCAGAGGCTCAGCTGGAAGTTCGTTCATTCGCTTGTCTGCTGATAGAAACATCACAGCTCCATCCTCTCTGACTGAAGGTCTGCTATCAGCGGGCTGCAGCCTGTTATGGGAGACAGAGAAAGAAAAAGGAAAAAAAAATAGAAAGAAAGTGAGGCAGAAAGAAAGGCGCAGCCGGGGATCAGCAGCTTAAAGTTCATTATGCAGATTGTGGAGCTAAAATGCTTCCAGTCTGCGAGTCTAATTTCTCTTTCATGGTCTTTGTGAGTGTGGCGTTCCTCCATTACAGGTTAGGAAAGAGCAGCGAGGTCAGAACAATCAGATTAGCAATGCATCCCTCTGAATTCACCATTTGGATTTTTCCATCGGCTTTGAGCAGAAGAACAGTGAGCACAAGAAGGCAGCGTGCAGGTCTCAGAGTTTTTGTTGGGCTTTCTTTAAAAAACGGATATACTGTGATGGAAATAAACAGTCACACAAGCTCAAGGTCAAACACTCACACAGACTCCCACGCTCAAACAAATAATAAGCTTTTTATCTTCTTCCTTTACTTTTTTCTGCAGTCGACACTGTAATTTAATTCACTAATTATAATCAGCTTTCGCTTAAGGCGAACAAAGCAGCGCTGTACTGTATATGTGTTATGCTAATATAAGATAGAGAATTTAACTTGCAAAGCTCCTGTCTGAACATTGTTCTGCCTGTTAAAAAACAATAAGGTTGTGCTGTATGGGAAATAAAATATATGAAGTGCAAAGAAAGGTCATCTGAAGATCTGAAAACTTTTCCATAACATATTAATCAAATTATAGAAGGTCCACACTGAGTTATAATAAATAAAGTACAATAATTAATATTCATTTATATATTTAATGTATTTAGGATAACGTACAAGCCCAATGAGTCCTCTTTACCACAATCATACAGTTAGATATTTATCACAAAACCTGCAAATGTAAATAACGCGCTTCTTAATGCATGTCGACTTACTGTCCAATTTGCCAGTGAGTGGGCTGATGGGAAGGAGTGGGAGGAAAACTGATAATTAAAAAAGATTATGTTACATCTGGAGATGATGAGATTTAGGAAATATGCTTCAATTTCTTACCGAGAGAGAAAAAAAGATCAAACTGCTGGTTATCTGAGTCTAACGCAAAGAGCGGACCGACTTTGTTCAAAGGTAATAAAATCAGCCCATTTGATAAGTTTTCTACCTGCAGAGAATGAAACAGCAGACAGCCCTGCCCCCCAAAAATCAGGTTTGGGGACATTTACTCTTATTCTTTTACCAGTTACATATAAATAAGTTACTGAGTGATATTTTCTTTTAAGAGGAAAAAAGCACCACATTTATAAAAGCCCGTAGACGCTATAGTTCACAGTCAGACTTCCATCTCCATTAAATAAGCACCAAAATCACTTTTGCCAACCCTCTGAGGTCTCGGCTTAAACATAGTTGTGAGTTGGTCCTATGTAGAGCCTATGAACAGCACTGTGGACCGTGGTCTGCATGTTGTAGTTGTTTATTCCCACCAGGCTTTACTGTCACAAACACCAGTATGTGGGCTACTCTTGCTAGTGACCTTGAAGCAGCTGTGGAGAAGTGCAGAAATGCACTGAGCTGAAGTGGAACCAAGCATTAAAAACAATGGACACTGTCCACTTTGCTGCTGCCTGTGCTTTTGGTGTCCCCACCTTTTTAATCTGATGCTTTTTCCCTCCCTTTGCTATCCTCCGCTTCCAGTCAGGATTCAGTCTAAGAAGAGCATCATCCGCATACATCTACACATGGGTTGCATACCTCTCGGGGTAGGATCTGCACAGGCAACTATCTAAAAATGCCAATGTAAAACCTGTGTCATCAGTAATGACTCCAAACCAATTCTTGACTCTAACTGTAATTTTAGTTTTTATGAAACTGTTCTCCCAAATCTCAGCAACCAGGGAACAAAGAAAATAATCATTCTATCTGACAAACATCAGCAGTTATTCACATTTTTCTCCATTCTTCTCCCAGATGTGGAGTGTCTATAGTTATCCAGCAGCAGCCCTCCTCTTCTGGGTGGAGACTGGTTGCTCCTCTCTGGCCGGCCACCTGTTGGCAATTATTCCAGCAGCATATAAGACCTGCATGCTCAATTAATCATTGTCTGAGCATCTGCTAACCCATGTTAGCCGTATCACTCAGTCTAGATCTTGTGTGAAAATGTACCTGTTTTTTCCTGTCTTCATAGTCGGCTCCTGGAGTGGGGTTCTTGCCTCAGTCATCCCCGCTTCCCTGGACCTTGGTCACCTGCTGCTGGTAAACCATTGCCAATTCTTTTGTCACTCACCTGCTTGCCTCCCTACGCCTCTGCCTCGTGCTCACCTGAACCTCGGCTCCACCCGTCCCCTCTTGCTTCCCTCCACCTGTAACCAAATAAGGTGACTCAGTTTGACTTTGGGAACGCTGATTCACCGCTGGACCGCTCTGACTGTGCTCTCCTCTCATTTCAGTGGTCATAGTTTCCCCCCCGGCCCAGCTGCCACCTCCCCACAGTCACAGCTGTACCACTGTATTCTAGAGCTGCCTAGTTTTCAGTTAAATGCCTTAGCTTTGATAGCACGCCAACTAATATAGTGTCATAGTTTAAATTTGGATTTTGTGTTTACTATGTGGGAAAAGAAACTTTTGTTCACTTACTGCCTCTCTTCCGGTTTGGATCCTGCGCTTGTGTCCATCTCATTTTCCTTGGGCCACGACATGGAATTATGGTAGGATACAGATCCAGAGTTACCATCTATCATGAAGTATCATCAAGTAAAATTGTTTGCTATGGTTGAATACTGTATTAAACTAGACCGCAGTGTTTTCGTCAAAACATAACCACAATAGAAGGACTTAAGCCTTGTTAGCTGGCAAATACTAACACTGTGTCTAATATATTTATGGAGTTTAATGTAAATGAGCGCTACATGTGTCATGTTATAATTCAGTTTGCCAGAATCTGACCCTTCACTTACTTTAGCTTCATCAGCTAGCCCACCCCGACCTAGATCTCTGCGAAAGTGTTTTGAGCTGTAGTGAACCAAAGCTAAAGGGTCAGTCTGTTCCTGTTACTTCATGCTGTAGCGATGCACAAACTGCAGCTTCAGCTTATAATCAGCCTTAAACAGCTCGAAGTCTGTGTTTGCATACTTGTTCTGCACCTTATAAAGTGTTACTCTTGACCAAAGAACTGGCTCATTGTCATGTTAATATCTGTCTAGTCCACCCTAATCACAACATTCTGCACTGGCAGTATGCTTGCCGAGAAAACACTGTGCTGAATTGATGAGGATTACTTCAAGCTGCACGGATTCATTTGTGCCCACAGCTGCTGGAGTAAACACGGAGATCATGAGACTGGAAAGCAGTGATTACATTTTCTCTTGAAATGTAATGTGGGCTTCAAAAGTCAAGACATGAAGCAGACTAGAGATGTCAAGACTAGGCCAAAAAAACCCCCCAACCAAACAAAACAAACATATTCCAGTTTGTAACAATCCTTTAAGGTTTTAGCATCATCACTTCCTCCTTGAATCCTGAATGCGTCAGACCTGGAAAGAACTTTTTTATAACCATTTTGGCCAGAGAGTGAAATAATTAGATCAGCTCCCTGAATTACTGTGAAACAGTTAATTAAGGCTGAGTGGGAGTGGATTTGAGGTCTTGGCAAACATAAGATTAATATTCTTCTGTTTACTCACACACACACTGGATGACAGATTACCCATGAGCCTCTGGGGCCAGGCCAAGGCATGCAGGCAGAGTCGTGGGTGGTCAGTTAGTTGACACAGTAACAAGCTGCTAGCCAGCGGCCTTCTGGGAAGGCGGCATCCACGACAGCCTGCGGGCTGAATGAGAAACAAGCAATGTGAGCATTCAGACTCATGATTAATGGCTGCTGCTGGTTTTACAGCAATGAGGAATATGAAAGTAAATGATAGTGTGGGTGTTAGAACAGAAAAAAATAACAGCATGTATCGAGGCACAGAATCACTCGTTGATCCATACGTTTGGGTATCGGGCTGCAGAATAATGAGAAGGTCTCAGAAACTAAGCAGAAATGACCCAACAAGGAGAGAACTGAGTAGAGGTGAGCCTCCTGGGAAATCAATATAATGAAACCTTCTCACCTGAAAGCACAGACGGACCGGCCGCAGAGCGACTGCCTTTCATCAGGCCGTCTAGCTGACAGTGTGGACAAACACAGAGGCTTCTGACTGAGGATTTAAGCAGCCTGTAAGGACATAACGGTGGCTTTATACACTGTTTGATAGACTATAACTGCTCTGCTGCTTTAAGACCTGTGTGGGAGACGGTCTTGTATGGTTCCCATTGAAATGCTAAGGAAAATGGGCATTAAAGGGCTTTTTAAGGAGGCTCTTTAAATGGCAACCTCATCCTCATGTTCGTTTAAAGATTTAAAATGACGGTTCTCATGTACTATATTGCCAAAATTATTCACTCATCCATTCAAATTACTGAATGAAGATGTTCCAATCACTTGAATGGGTGTATGAAAATCAAGCACCTAGGAATTCAAACATTTGGATAGTCTAAGGCAGCGGACCCCAACCTTTTTTGCAAAGCAAGGTGCATAAAGATGTGGATGAGAAAGTTTGGTGTTGAAGAGCCCTTCACACTACACTAAACTTTTGGCAGTATAGTGCATGTGGTTCTTCACTTCAGTCTGGAACAAAGTGTAATTGGGTCAAATATTTGTAATTAAATCACACAAAAATAGTACATGCAGAGGAAATGAAACAACAGTTATACCAGGAACTGTATATAAAACATGAACGTAACCACCAAGAAGTAACATGTTGGTTTGATAATGGTTTTTACCAAAAAGTGGAGGGTAGAACCTGAGAACACCTGTGTACAAAAACTTGTCAACCATAATTTACAACATGGATATAATGTTGTGTTGAATATAACTCGAACCTAGCATTTGAGACTCTACATACTCTCATCAGCAAAATACTTGGTAAAGTAATAAATCAAGGGAGAAGTAAGACTTCTATATAATCTGAAGTCAGGGGAGCCAGTCCTTGCTAGCTATTACAAAAAACTGCAGGTTTAAGACACTTCCACATGCATGGGCTTCACTTTTTAGACTCAGTGGCTAGATCCATGGTAACTGTTGCCAGTCTGTTGTACAGTGTTTCCATATACCTGTGAAAAGTATATCCAGTAAAGAATCTGTATGCCATTTGCAGGTCAAACTGCAATTGTGGCATGTGATATCATAGATTAGCATGTTATCTCTGTTATTGCTGGCATCTCTCAGTTGATCATGAGTAACAAGCCATTTATAAGCTACTCAGTAGCAGCATATATTTAATTGAAAAGAGGTTTGTGGCAATGGAATATCCTTTTCTGCAGAAGCATTCGTTTAAAAATACAGTGGGGTGATCCAGAGCAGGCTTAAAATTTAATGGACATGTCATGCAGAGGTCAAACTGGAACAATGTGTTACAATAAATATAATGAAATCATCCTGAGAGAACGAGGGCTGTCTGCAGCACATAAGCTAACGTCGTTACAGCTTGCCGGACCTTAAGAAGTAAATGAAGGAGCAGAGCTGGAAGGGCTCGGTCTGAGTCTGTGTCAGATTTAAGTGGCTTCTATAAACAAGCAGGCTGGTTCACATCTAATATACAGGTAATGAAAAGAGCTGCCATCTCCAGGAGTGGCCAGTGGGAATAAACAACCAAATGATGCTGAAATGAATATGGGTCAGATCTCATTATAGCTGCACATGTTTTCTTTCAGCCATGTGTGAATTTAATTCCTCTAATTAGAGGTGTGTACGTGCGGTGAAAGTAGAGTCTGGCTAGGTGTTAAATATGTGACACTTTTCATTTGGGCAGAGAAAGTTATTTGGTGTCAGGCGGCCGGTATTCCTGCTGAATGTGATTATAAAATAATGTACAGCCAGATCTCTGCCATCTGCTCTGGTGGCTTCACTGGTTTTTATAGATCAGAGGCGGCAGAGATTAAACCACGGATGAAAAATACAGCTGTAGACAGGATGATGTGACTGCAGCCACGCTCTGCACGCATGTGTGTACAAGACAGCTTCCTGGTATGGTGTTAGTAGTGGTGATATGCTCAGTTGGGTTGTGTGCAAATACAGTATGGGAACCATATTAACCATATAATGCTCACCTTTACATTGAAGACATAGTTCAAAGTCAGCATCCTTGTTTTGCCTCAAATTGTGCACTTCCGCTTGCTACTTTGTTGCTGTCTTGTGTGTTCACACTAACACGCATGGATACATGCATCTGGGAGAACTCAGCTGTTGGAGGAAATCTAAGATCAGGTACAGTGATGCATTGGAAATAAAAACAGACAGCACCAGAACACTACTGGACCCAAAGCTGAAACCACGGGAGAAGCTCACCAGTGATTTTCTGCCCACAGATTCTGTAATGAGTTTCTAACTAGTTAGCAGACTAACTTCTGCTAGCTATACTACATAAAACACTGCATACCATATTTGGGGAAAACCAGTATATGAGAACCCAGATGATGGCCTAACAGTAAAAAAGTTGAGTATGAAAAACTGTGGATGCTTAATGGTCTAATAATCAATATACTTAATGGCATATTGACTGAACAGAGGACAAGGTAGCCAACCAGTTTTCAGTTGGTAGGAGGAATGATGGTCTGCACAGATAGCAAAGCTTAAGCTGTCTACTGCTAGCATAGACAGTATAATAGATTATGCACACAGTGATGTCAATGTTTTTGCCATCTTCCTGTTTTGAAACAGTTTTCTTCAAAAGAAGTGAAACTACTGATTGAGCCTGTAAAGTCATTAGGGTCATTAGGGGTTTGCAGAGTGAAGGGGAAATTATGGTT